TGAAAATTCTGGTGATTGTGCTCATGCCTCTGTCGTATAGGTAAAAAACGTTTCTCGACAGATGTTGTCGGCATACATTTCTGGGTGTAGTCCGGGTCTCAGTTTCAGTTTTCAATTTGTTCAGCTATTACCATGCACTTTCGTGCACCGGTTTTAGTTGCTGTCCTTTGGCTGCCCATTTGGATGAGGTAGTTGGAGAAAAACAGGAGAGTTGATAGTGGAGTCGAATATGAATGGAGAATTTCGTTGAACTAAGGCTGTGAAGAAATTGAGAAGATGCACGAACGCCACTGTTTACGACACCCAGCCATATCAATTAGTGTCTTTAATCATTGGGTACGATCATCCCGAGGTCCCCAGCCAGGGAGCCTAACAGGACCTGTGTGACCGAGTCTCCTGGTTAGGGTTTTCATACCCTCGTGCCAGATCTGAGCTTGACCACCCTTGGCTTTATTCCACTCGGTATCTGCTTCGGCGAACATCGCTTGCCGTGGTAACCTATCTGGTGACATGCGTAACACATGTTCCAACCAACGTAATCTATGGAGGTCGACCACTTGCTCCAGTGGGCGACCGTATTTACCTAAAACTCTGCCCCTAACCTCAGCATTGCTCATCCGGCTACCCCACCAGATTCGTGCAGTGCTGCGTAGCCAGCGGTGTTGAAACACCGACAGTCTATCTTTATCTTGTTTTCTTAATGGCCAAGTTTCTGCACCGTATGGCCGAAATGTGGCGGCATACACTCGACCCTTCACAGACAACCGGATGTCGCGACGGTGCCACAGATGTCTCAAGTTGGCAAATACCAATCGAGCCCTCTGTATGCGCGCAGACACTTCATCCGTGATGCCTCCACCGTGCGAGATGTAGCTGCTCAAATAACAAAGCTTATCCATCTGCTCTGTTACTTCCCCAGTTAGATTGAGGCTCGGTGCTGGACCAACCCAGCCTTGTAGTAATATTTTGCACTTTGAAGGTGCAAAATGCATACCGAACATTGCTACGCTTGCACTCAAATTATCCAGAAAAGTTTGTAACATACCTGCATCTCCACTTAGAAGCGCAATGTCGTCTGTATACTCCAGACCAAACAGTCTGCCTCCTGGGGGTAAATCGATGCCACTTTCCTCGCACGAGGATAGGGTTGTTTCCATAATCAAATCTAAAACAAGGTTTAATAGAAATGGAGAGAGGACAAACCTGACGAACACCGCTCTGGAGAAAAAGTACCGTAAGATCGGATTCGACTTCGGCCATGAGTATGAAGAAATCGTATTATTGATATGAACTCTTTGGGCACATCATTCAGATAGAGAGAGGTAGCGCCAGAGTATAGAGCGGTGGACTGAGTCGAAAGCCGCATTCAGATCTAGGAAGATAGAGATGGCGGGTCTACGAAACGAATACCCGTGCTCCAGAATTTGGCGGAGAGTGAAGATGTGGTCGATACAACCTCGACCAGGTCCAAAACCAGCCTGGTTCTCACGCGTGTACCGTTCATGTGTGGCTGACAATCAACGGAGTATGATTCCCAGGAGAAGTTTATAAGCCATGTTGATTCAACTAATTCCTCTGTGGTTTCACAAGAGGACCTGTCACGTGTTTTGTAAATCGGAATGATGACAGATTCACACCACTCAGTTGGAACCTCTTCTCTCTCCCACACTGAGCCCAGGAGTTTCGTTAACTCCGAAACCAAGACTGAGCCTCCATCCTTAAAAACCGATGGGGACTACTCTTCCTGCCCGGAGGCATTATACCTTTTGAGATAGCTTATTTCCCGGGTAACCTCCACTTTTGATGGAGGAGTAGCATCAAGTGGTAGTATTTGCCCAGTTGTGGGGGAAGGTAATAGGTTAGAAATCGATGGGGGCCAGTTGAACTGAGCCTCAAAATGTTCAGCCCATCAATCAAGACGGCGTTGCTGATCGTGAATCAGTGTGCCATCGGATTTCTTAACTACCACCCTTATGCCCTCTTCCTGGGGCCCGTATTCCTAATTAGATGGAAAAGGTTACGACTATTACCAATAGCCGCAGCTTTCTCCATCTCTTTACACTTGCCTGTCCATTTTTCAGACTCTTGATGAGCTGGCGTTTAAGGGATTTGCGCGTTGTGACGTATGTGGCATCAGGAGGAAGGGTTCTGCGGGCGTCCAGCAGGGCAGCCGAGGTCAACGAGATTCATCGTTTGTGTTTTGAGCCTGAGCCAGGGTCTGACGTTGTTTTTATCGATATTTGAATAGCTTCCTTGATTGCCGACCAGTGTTCGTCGAATCCTTCAGCTGGTGGTTGAGCGGATAGGCAATCGGAGGGAGCCGTTTCGAAGGCCGATTTGCAACAATCGGGTCTAACCACCCGCATACGGTGTTGAACCTTAGAGGAATCAGATTATGCCATTGTCAATTTATTTAGCAATGTACTTTTGGTATAGGTTGTGAACTTGAATCTCGAGCTTCTATTGCTCGCTTGTGCCAGTCAAGGTTTCAGTGAGTTGGGTATTTGGTATTATCTTCCGGTCTGACTCTTTGTAGTCTCACCTATCATCTCGGTATTTTAAATCAATCGGTACAACATATGTCCAATTTGAGTCAAGCAATGCATATTGCCATTTTGCTTGTTCGTGTTGTGACGTGTTAATTTTATTGGTTTTTTTTGCCAGGTTATCTTCAGTTTCGATCTGAATGCAAAGATAGTTATCTGAGAGTAATCTCAGTATAGCGTTTCATATTTGTGACTCGGGTGTAATAGTAGGATGTCCGTCATCATTGATTTTGCATGCGTTATTCATTCATGCACGTTGTAATAACACTGATTTGTGTTATGCCTACACTTTTTGTGCTTGGTTTATTTTCATAGGCGATATATTCCAGTCAATTTCCGATCGATCGTCTACCGGATTAATAGCCTTTTATTTCCTATTCTCTGTCCATCCTCAATGTCTATCCCTAAATGAAACAACACTACAAACCCAGTTGTCTATTCATAGTATATCCGGATCAGTTTGGAACCTTGCGTATAGAGTATAGAGTACTGTCGCGCTTAGGTCCTGTGCCAAACGATCCTTTTGTTCACAAACCATGAGAGATAGCTGTTTTAGTAGTTGGCTTCAATGTTCATTACATTCAAAAACAAGCTTCAGCGCGTTTCGTAATTCTATGGAATTTATGATTTTATTCACCTTCGCGTCTAATTATTCCCGTTTTTATACGTTTTCTTAGAGAAAGACAATTTGATGAATTAGGTGTCGATAGGTAAAATTATGAAATTTGCCCTTGCACGACAAACATTTTTACGCGAACGACCAATTTTCGAATTTGGCTCATATACAAGTGCTTTCTGAGGAAGAAGAGAAGCATTAGTCGGGAACCCATAACCGTTAACAGCGCTTCGTAAATTAGGCAAACCCGTTATGTTCTTCTGACCTGTTAGACGGGTTTTTATGTGACTCAGTTGAACAATGCAATCTGCACTGGTTCCATAGAGCAGCGGGGTATATTCACACGCACAGTGCGCTACTCTTTAGAGGCCATCTTAGGTGTGATGGGAAGCACCTCGGCTAGTCCATAACAGTTGGATTTTATGAAATCTCTGGTACATCTTTGGTATCTCCGGGACCACTCCCTTTTGTTCGAAGAAGTTTCTCCAGTACTTATATAGTCAAATGGTACGCGTTGGAGACTGATGTAATATTTGTGACCTTAATTCGTGAGTGACTGTTTGTTTAGGGTTTCCTCCTTATGCCATGTACAACACTTTGACACCTCACGATAAGTCACTTTCTCATTGCCCAATCTTCTATCACTTAAATGAATCAGATAGTAGATTCCGAAATTCTTTTTGTTCATAATATGTTTGTGTGTGCTCGAGGGAGCGCTTTGCAGTACCGCTTCCCAATTAGTTATCTTGCAAACCAAGGCAGATAGACTCAAACAAAATATTGATCGTTTTGTATATTCGTGGAACATTAAATTCCCGTCTCAATAACTGATAATTGTCATTGTTTTCCTGTCTGATCCTCCTCGCATTCCGTCAGATGGTAACCAGCCTGGGCGTATCCAAAGCCGTATTGGAAAATGTGATATTCTGTCACCAAGAGGATTCTAACTGGTAGGTTCCCCAGATTTCTCAATCTCGGTTACGATGGTGATGATAGCAAGCAAACTATTTCAAGCACTTACTGCCGTGTATGGGCCTACGGAGTTTGGGAGTAGAATACTGGCCACAATCAGCGGCGGCTCCTCTGTTGCCCCTGGCACTATGCAATCCTTCCACTATTGGGGCTTGATTTGTTTTATCACTTCAACAGCCAGGTTTTACGTTAGCAATTGCCCTAATCGGGCTTTCGAGCTATTCGGAATTCCGGTGTTTCAGTGTAAATTTCAGTGATGGGCTACGTTCACGCGCGTCACATTGCTACCTACTACTTACTTTACTTTGCTGCGGTTGGCTCCTTGGAGAGAGTAAGTCGGTTTCATGATCACTTTGGCGTTTCGTAGCAGTTTCGTACGAGAGAGGTCCCCATCTTAATTCGGTCCTCCGTAGCTTTAATCGAACGAAACTTGTTATCAGGCGAGAACCCACCACACCCTCTAGCAACACCGCTAGTCGTCCAGCAAGCTGTCACCCCCCATTGGTAATTAGTCCCTGGCGTAATCGTTCTCTTATCGTCCAGATCATATATAAATGTTTTTTGCTCTCAATTTGATTTTGTCCCTAACATCGGTTTGAAAACTTATTGCACACCCTCTTCTCAGGCCATTGCAAGAAGCGAAATCGGTCAAACAACGGTTTGACGATTTGTTTGCTTCCTCGCGTTATGTGAAGGCGTTGGACGCGATGCGCAAGTGCAAACAGGAGAAAGTACGTCCCACCCCTGTCCCCCTCCAGGTGATCGGTTTTACCGGATTTTATTGTTGCTGTGCGTGCGTGTAGTCACCCCTTCATTCACCTACTCATATGGTGAGGATGTGCAGTTCTTATGATACTATCTCAAATTTTTTCTGCTCTCAATCACCGATGTATATTGTTGACTGCTGTACTCTTTGGTGACAGACAGCTTCGCCTTCATCCCGCCTCATACCACGCCTAACCTTATGTAGCTCGCCACCCTAAGTATCAAGTCTTTGCGTGGCTGTTGGATGCATTCCCTTTCTGTTAATCAGATGTGATAGGTATAACACATCCGGCTGAAGTGAAAAATCAGTTTACGGGAGATGTGGTCTGTTCTTGATAGTGTTTTGATCATGTAGAGTCAACGTGACACTGTCGAGAACGAACCTGGATAGCCTCCAAGTGGTTGGTATGTTGTACCCTTTGGACCCTTTGTGTCCGAACTCGAATCCTTGTTATTTCAGTGAAAATGCACTCCGAATGAAATCATTAGGTCGAATGAAATAACTGCACGCAGTACTTGTGAAGCTTTTCCATGGTGAGTGAAAATTTAACCCTTGATGGCAAATCTACCCGCATAAGCAATTTCATTGTTGTTTATGAAGCGCGGAATCATGGCTGCGTCCGCAACTCGAATCCACGCGAGCGTCATCACCTCCGGAATCACGATTTCGGTTAGAGACACCTCGCGAAAGGAATTCGGCAGTGCCAGTCTGTTAAATTCGCAATGGGAACAGGATATTGTAACTGTGGTCAAACAATCGGGGTCAAACTGCACCCGCTTCTAATTATTTTTAAATTCCATTTTGATCACGCTTGTGTTTTGCTGAATCGGATGGTGTTCATATGCTACGAATTCCACTGAATTCAAGTTACTAACGTACAGTTTTAGTTACTTTTGCTTATTTACAATCTGCTGATCACAGATGCCTGCTTTCTCCCCATTGTTCTGGATGGTGAACTTTTTCAGACCGTTACCTTGCAAATCTATAGAACGGACTTGAAACATTTGAGCAAAAGCCGGGATGAAGCGCAACGGGTAAGTATCTCATCCCGCACTGCGATGTGTGTCTGTGTATGTGGCTCCCAGATCCATGACACCNACCCCTTCCCCCTTATTTCTTCCAGTTGGCGTTGGGTTTTCACTTGTGTTCAGTAGTTGTTTTTCTTCTGTTCACAAATCCATGTATGTGTTCACACTGCGTTATGCATGTGTTCAAATATGGTCAGGCACAATCGTGGTTGTCCAGGTTTACCGTCTTAACACATGTGTTCTACGCCCCCTCNCATAGAAAAAGAAAACCTGAACAAAGTCACCGAGAAGTTGGATCCTGTTGTGGTAAGCGTATTTCTGTGAATAAGTCATCTCTTTTCCGATCGGATGACTAGTTTACTATCATTGTATGTTTACTGTGGTGGTCAGGCTGATACCTTGATCGGAAAGCAAACGGCGGCCGCCTGGCTCTTCACTTACTGAGCAAACATGGACAAAGTGACCAATTTTTCACGAATCTTGTCCAAGATAGTGTTAGTGCATTTCATTACCTTTTCTTCTAGGTACCTCTCTCCTACGTGAAGATTAGTCGGTTCTGTGCTTGGATCTTTGAGGATTTTTGCTGGATACCTCTTCTGTTCTTCTCGGCGTTTTGTTTCGAGGATGCGCCTGTAATTCATGAGCAGCCAAGTGTGTCATCTGTGATGACGATGACCTTGGTTGATGGCGGATCAGATTCACTGTTTTCGGATATTCAAGGCTGTCTGTTACAGAGAAATGGCGTTCCAGATGAAAACTCGCCCCATCCTTGTACATTACCGCTGATCGACCGCGACCTGTTCTTCTTATATTTGACGTGTTTAAGTCCAAACCGTGTGCTAGACAAAGAACGGTACAATAGTATTAATAGCAAAGAAATAGTTCTATGATTCACTAGTGGGTTGGATAGTGTCAGGTTGTCCAAGCCAAAGTAGCTAAATTTTCTTGTGTGATTAATGACCGGAGCATTCAGCTAGCGAAAGCCTAACCCACAAGGAGGCGAGACGGTGTTTGAAAACCACAATCCATAGGGGACCGATTTTAATTTATCGCATCATACCGTTTACGGGGTCAAACGTCCGCAGTGTTCCATACACCACAAGCCGGTGACCACTGCCACAACCCGGAAAGTGTCTCTCTTTGTGGTTCCTAGGCCTCTCCTTAGTTAGTTTGAAATCGGAGATTTTAATCAACTACTTTAGGTAAACTGGTTCTCCGACCTGGGTGTAGCTCCGGATGTTCGATTACCAAATCGATCATTTCTGAGGACTCCGTCGCGTAAAGGAAGTAAGAGCAGCTTCCTCAGCAGAACCTATTGGATACACGATCGTATGGGGGCCTTTAGCGAGTTGACTATTCACCACCCAGGATACCCACCCGGACCATACCGAAGCTTTCGTCGGCAGATTGCTTATTCAGTAAAGTAACCGTCACTTAATTGCGGTTAGTCACTCAAATAGTCTTCTATCCGCTATCAAGTGATGCACCCGTTTGTGTATAGCTCTGTCGTCTGTCGGCTCCAGCGTATCACCCATGCTAGCAAATTCCATCGAATGACTTGATTGGTATTCGTTCACTAGTTCCTCCAATTCTGATTTATTTACGGTTTCCGGATTCTCTCTCTCTTCCAGGCCCAACTGAACTTGTACAAGAGGAAGTATGCCGAACTGATCCAGTTGCAAGCGGACGTCAGTAAGCACAAACAATATCATTATTGTCGTCGCTATCGTCATCATCAGCATCATCATCATTTCTGTGTATGAGACGCTAAATTTGATCCGACGTTTTGGTTCCAGTGGGATCAATTTGGTCCCGTTCTTGCAAATTAAATTTGTATTTGACCAAAAACCGCGTTGCATTCGATTGCAGAGACCTGCGAATCGGAGAAATCTCATTTGGAAGATGCGATTGCAAATCTGATGAGCAATATAAACAACGAATTTGAGGGTAAGTCGGGCCCCACTTGGTACAGATTTTGAACAATTCAAATTAGCGATGGATAAAATGTATATATAAGGCAAAATCAAATGATTCTCCCAATCAGACGGGATCGGGAAATTATAAGTTGAATGTATACATATTTTTTGTCGACTCTTTCGATACGTCTACCTCTCCGTCTTGCTTTTTAGGGTTGCGCAGCCAGCACATGCTCTAAGGTTCACAGTTTGCATCCTGTCATTGACATCTATGCTCGTGTACAACTTCGCTGTCATCTGGCCTGATAGTACACCTGTTTCATTTGACCTATTATCCACAGCAAAATGGAAGCCAAAAAGCTTTTTCGTGTGGTTCGAATGCAAGATCACCAGAAAAATTACAGCTTGGGGGGGGTGATCGTAGGGACAGCAATTGCGGGGAAATATCTTGAAAAGCTACTGAAACGTTCGATTACGAGTAGTGGACGATTCCAAGCGTTGAACTTTGAAGCAAACAAAACGTTATTTGGTTCGACATATGGCCGACTAACAACAGGTCCTAACTTGCACAAAGTGGTAGTGGGATGTGGGAATTAGCGAGTAGCACCGCATTGGA